CCCTTGCCGGCCGAGGGGAGGGGGACGGGTGCCGCCCCCCCCCCATAGGTTTTTTTTCGCGATAGCTCCGAACACGCTGGCGATAGAGAGCTGAAACTTGGAATACCTGACCTTTGATTCAAGCCGGATCTTTTGACACCAATCGCATTTTCAGGTCAGGTCAGGGCACTGACCTATGACGTCATAAGTGAACCTGTGCACGGTCTTCAGAGGTCGCAATTTCGCAACGCCCTCACTGCCAGAGGAGCTTTCATAGGGAAATGAAACTTGCAGGATCTAATATCAATTACGAGTCTCACAACATGTTTGTCTCGGATTTTTCCTAAAGGTCATATGAGGTCAGGTCATTTTCGTGACCTCACCATTATAAGTCAATGGCACTGAAAACACTTTGGAAGAACGTTTAGAACGTACAGTGGTATTTAGACCCCTGTGGGGTAAAATGTTATGCCACCGTTTTTCAGAACCCCCATGGCTCTTCACGTAGACGGCTTTGCATTCTCATCAAAAGAATCCACACGATTCTTCCAAAGACTCTTATGAGGTTTAGGGTTTATAATAAGAGCGTTCTTAGCACCTAGATAAGAACCCCAAAGGATCTGTGAAGAAGTCCCTGAGGTTTATAGGGAAACCACCCTGTGTTCTGAATATCGGTTGTAGAACCCTTTCAGTTCTATTGCAATACCGCAAAATCCCCGTTCATTCGTCTATTGAACCTCCCATGCATGGCTATCGACCTGCGCCGTCACATCTGCTGCGCAAACACAGTACTTGATACACCTTAAAATGTATTACCTTCCTCTTTACTCTGAGCAATCAGCCTGCAAGTCTCCAGTCAGGAACAACCAGCCCGCAACCAGCCCATGCGATCAGCCCGCAACCAGCCCGCATTCAGCCCGCAATCAGCCTGCAGGAACGCTTTCCATTCGGCCGTGTCACTTGCCTTACACATCCAAGCCAAAGAACTCCAGAGTCCAGAGCCAAATATGAACACATTTTTAGCTTTAGCAAGTGGATGTTTTCCCAAACACAGTATGTATAGCGCTATCGCCCATGTCAGCAGCCGGGTGGCGATATCGCATTCTCCCAAATCACATACAGTTTCTCCTTCCACCACCAGCTTCAAGCCAGCGTTTTCGACGATGTCGACGTCTCCGCGCGCCAGGACGCTCTCCTCAGACTCCAGGGCCTCAATTAGAGCGGAGATGGCCTCGTCCCCTGGAATGAAGAGTCGGGCGGATGCGTTATTCAACAGACAGGAAGTAAAGAAACTTAGATTGACTTCAGAAACCATGAGCCTACTCCGAAAATAAAATAATGCACTTGACATATAAAGTGCAGCTAGATAAAATATTGCACTAATCAGCAAGAACATATGTTTATCAAAATCAGCCAAATTTATGCCTAAATCAATTGACCTCAAAATGGCAAGGTGATTCTATTCCTGAATTATCTTCATTTGGAAGATTTGTCTAAATACCACATGCATAATTTAAGCTATGGGGCATTTATACAACATATAAATACTTACTGCATTGATTGGTCTTGCATATGAATTGTCTTCATCCAATGCATTCATCCATGCATTTGAAGAGCGTTGTGATATTGCTTATTATTGTCAATCACAAGTAATATAGATAATACACAACACTTGACAAGCCAAAAATTAACCTTATTTCAGTTCTTCAATATTCGATTACTTGCCATTCACCCAATCTTGCACCAGCCGCTCGTCACTGCACAAAGCGTGATCCAACGCGATCGAAAAATGGCGATCGCTTCCGGTGGACGCTAGAACGTGGTACCGCGGGCGTGGTCTTGATGAAAGCCATTACACTGATTAAACCACAACCCCTTCTTCTTAAACCCGATGCTAGTTCGTGCAAAACCTCCAAAGGGTTTATCTTTCGCGCGCTTGGTGTGACGTAATATCACGTGACTAGGGAGAACGAAGAAGAACCGGTGTTGGTCGAGTTGAAGCCCCCTGGGGCCACTAAGACTGCACGCGAAGAAGCAGCACGTGTCTTCGGTCTATGTGAAACACTGTGTGTGTTCTTCATGAACCAGACGTTCTGCTTCGCCTCTAAGTCAGTTTACCCTAATACCCAAAAAACCTAAGTGTGGAATATTTTAAGATGCTTTTGCATAACGTTCTTTCAACTTGTTTTCAGTGGGTGAAAAATGAAAACTGCTATTCTGGCGCCGGGAACGATCTCCAACTATCTCAAGCAAACAGAATCGTGATTTAATGCACTCCTTGCAAGGTTGCATGCGTCACTTTTGCAATGTTGACATGGCGTGACTTAGGGTCATATTAGTTTTTCGTCAATAACTCCCGATCAAATTGAGCTAGCAAGTCTGGAAAGCCACGAATGGACTCAGAATCAGAAAGGCCTGCCAAATCGAATGATATGCGACATGACCTACTTGGACCAATTTCGTGACCTGGGGGCGCTGACCTGACCGTGACCCGAGGTCAACACCCTAAGTTGATCTCACCAAAACAAAAAGTATACCATTCGTCGCGCCTGAGCGAGGCGAACACGATGCTGCCAAAATCGCGTCTCTGCGGCCGTTTTTTGCAGTTATTCACCAAAATCGGAGCCGTACCTTGGGGCACTTGACCTGACTTCAGAGGTCACCGGTTGACCTAGGACCTTAAAATCGGTTATCAATTTCTGCGTCTCGTAACGGCGCACACGCTCGTTTTTCCGCGATGCGCTAGCTCCACCAGGAGCGAAACGGCGAGGGGGGTTGACCCGCCCCCCCCCCCCTCGGCCGGCGCGTATGTAGAACACCAATAGGTCTGGCGAGGGTTAAGAGGATATCGGGAAAAGATAAATCACTGTGCTTGTCAGTGTTGCGGTAGAAGGAAAGGTTTTGGTTGGTATCTAGATAAAACCAGATCCGGGTGGGGCCAGAACCCATGACATCGCATTCGACACACAGATCACTCAGCCCCAACGGTACGAGCACCTCGTTTTTTCTCACAGACAATGACAATAGGTACAAAAACAATGTAATAGACCAGACGTTTCGACAACAAAGTGCCTTCGTCAGTGGAAAAACAAGATATAGGCTTTACATCGATAAAAAATATAGAAGACGACCAGCCTGCACGAAATACAGCTTTACTTTTTTTGACATACAGGTTATATCTAATCTCGCACTAAAATGTTATATCGTTCTTCTGTCTAAACTATTCTGTAAGTCATAATCACAGCATTGGAATCGACATATTGACACATTATAACAGAGACACTCCTATGTATAGATATAGCTATTTGTTTTTTAGCACCATTTTCGCACCTATCCTGGACCAGCTGTAGAAGCCTGGCTTTATGTTAACGGTGTCTTCAAGTAAAATATATGCAGCTTCCATGGCTCTCCTAATCGGTTTTGGCATGCCCTTTTCCATCACTGTAGCTGAATCCCAAGCTGGAAGATGATGACACTTCTCTATATGAAGCACCATCGCATTGGATACATTATGATTTCGAACATCACGTTTGTGCTCTTGAAGTCGTGTTTTCAAACCCCTCCCCGTTTCACCGACATATGATTTTGAACATGGTCCAGAACAAGGTATCTTATATATAACACTGTTGTCTGATGTGTTCACCTTCTTCGGTCGCACTAAATCTTGAATCTTGGATCCTGAAACGATGGCTACATTGGTTCCAGCTGATCGTAGACTAGTCGCTATTTCGTTCGCTTGTTTCGAGATGGGAATCGTTATGAATCGTCACAATGCTGATTCCAATGCTGTGATTATGACTTACAGAATAGTTTAGACAGAAGAACGATATAACATTTTAGTGCGAGATTAGATATAACCTGTATGTCAAAAAAAGTAAAACTGTATTTCGTGCAGGCTGGTCGTCTTCTATATTTTTTATCGATGTAAAGCCTATATCTTGTTTTTCCACTGACGAAGGCACTTTGTTGTCGAAACGTCTGGTCTATTACATTGTTTTTGTACCTATTGTCATTGTCTGTGAGAAAAAACGATATGTCTGACTCTTCTAATAGTACGAGCACCTGTCATCCTGCGGAGCTTGCTGGATAGTGTTTCGGCCAATCGACGGCCATGACAATTATTCGCCCAAGGCGCTCTACGCAAGAAACACCAGCCAGTCCAAAACTGGCGAACGATCTTTGTGGTGCTGGAATTATCTTCAATGAAGTTTTCAGGATATATTTAATAATGTTAATCCTTTGAGCTACTGGGCGCTCGGAGCATTCGCTAGCATTCCACTGCCGGCTGCATTACCAACATTACTATCATTACCAAAAATAATACCTACCACAGTATCATCCATTGCCAACATCACATATGCATTATTATGAGTGCGTCATAGGTGGGTGACATTACATGAACCGGCCACGGCAAACCCGTGCCTTTATCCTTTCCTTCCAAGCAGCCAGGCTACCGGCCGCCAGCCCCGTCACCGCGATATGGAACAGCGGGCCGGCTGGAATGCGCCATTTGCCTGCAGTAGCGCCCCACTGCGCCGGGGCTGTTTGACAGGTCACCCGCACCGTGACCTCGCCCCTCCCCACCTCCCCACCGGGCCCAGCTCGGTACTGACCTCTCCTTGGATTTGACATAGACTCGACTAAGGCTCAACGGCAAAGTTACGTCTGGAGATCCTTACTAGATCCACTGTTTGTCTCTTATACGGCCTTGGTTTGTAAGTACGTACAGAAGGTCGTCGAAAACCATTGTGTTCAGCATGCGCAACGGTCTTTTCATGAACTTCCAGAGGCTCAATAACGTCATCTTCTTGACTCCTCCGATAAGAACCGATCAGAATAAGCTTCCTGTTCTTTTCGTGATGGTCTGTGTTTTTTCGTCCGACAGCATATTTGTGGGCTAGTGCGGTCGATGTGAAACATCATCCTTGTCGAAATTAAGCATCATAGCGCATGTATCTACTCTAGTTCCGTTGACCCGTATCAGCTTAACTCTCCAGCGCCATTCAAATATCGTTTTTCAGTTACTGAAGCTTTAGTTTATTTCTTAAGCTAGTGAACATATAGCATGCGAATAAATCTACTATAGGATTTGTGGTGACACGTTTTTCTACAAATAAAACAGAATTATCCCCTTGATGTTAGGAAATCATAGATATAAATACAAAAATAAAAGTAAAATAAAATGATAAAGAGAACTTGCTCGAAGGAAACTTACACATTGAGCACATAAGCTAATCAAATAACTTTAATAAAGCCCAGATAAGCAGTTAGGTTACCTGAAGAAGTTGACCTTCGAGCATTGGCATGGTAGGTCAGCGTAGCAAGCTCCCAGCGGTTTTCTGACATTTACTGATTTTACAAAGACCAAATAAACGTCTACTCCTATGTCTTCTTTCTCCTTCACTCCTTCCACCTTGTTCTTTACATTGGACACAGCCACATCTCACACATCCTACACGTTACATGTGAGTTTGATTGATAGACGAACACCGCTCATTAGTAACAAAAGTACAACAGTCGCTCTTTGAGTCTTCAGTACAGCGTCAGTCACAAACCCATTTACTTAGCAGGTTTGTGAAGAAGCGCAGAGCTCACGCCAAACTACCACTTATAGCGCACAGGAATTTATCTCACGAATATTTTCTGTCACGGTGGCAACCTACTACACATACGTACACATTATTAACGTTTTCACGTCATTTCGTTTTTCACGTCACTCAGGCCTGCAGAGGTGATGTATTATGACTCATTCAGCTTATCTCTTGGAACTTCCGCATTTATGGTTTACCACCAGAAGACCTATTTTCTAACTGTGAACGTGCTTCAATCCTTTCGGCCCTTGTAGCTGTATCAATGACGTCTCTGCGTTGTCTCCGATCGCTGGTGGGACCTCGGAGGGCCTCAAAACTGAGTTTCTCAGACCTCTGATTGTCTCAGACCTATCTCAGACCTTTCTCAGACCTGAGTGTCTCAGACCTAAGTTCCACAGAACTGAGTGTCTCAGAACTGAATGTCTCAGACCTTGCCTCACACCTGCCTCAGGCCTGTATCAGACCTGTCTCAGACCTTTCTCAGACCTGAGTGTCTCAGACCTAAGTTCCACAGAACTGAGTGTCTCAGAATTGAATGTCTCAGAACTGAGTGTCTCAGAACTGAGTGTCTCAGACCTCTGAGTGCCTCAGAACTGAGTGTCTCAGAACTGGGTGCCGCGGTCGGCAATGTATCGCGCCGCGTCCGGCGACATATGCAGAACGCCGGGGGCCACCCGGTAACCGGTGTAGTTGTTGGGGAGCTCCTTTCCACGGAAACCCTCTGTGGGGAGAGAGCAGCGCGTCAGAGAGAAAGAATGTAGAGAGAGAGAGAGAGAGAGAGAGAGAGAGAGAGAGAGAGAGAGAGAGAGAGAGAGAGAGAGAGAGAGAGAGAGAGAGAGAGAGAGAGAGAGAGAGAGAGAGAGAGAGAGAGAGAGAAAGAGAGAGAAAGAGAGGGAAAGAGAGAGAGAGAGAGAGAGTGAAAGAGAGAGTGAGAGAGTGAGAGAGTGAGGGAGAGAGAGAGAGAGGGAGGGAGAGAGAGAGAGAGAGGCACGTTGAGAGTTGGCAGCGATGGATAAAAAAAAACAGCTGAGCTAAGCCAGAAACAGAACAGTAGTAGACACCGACTGACGAAACAGACACAGCAACAGACATACACAGAATACAGTAGGACAGTATTCCTAAGTCGTAAAGGCAGTTATAAGTCATGAAGGCAGATTTTGAAGGGGTCTGAATGCTTTTTTCACCATATGACTGATCAGGTAGCATTGAATTAGTTTTGGTTTTTCATGTCATTTTTCCATGTATTTCCAGCGGCCAGCGATGCCAGTGACCGAGTTCGGCTCTCCTCTGCAGGTGGTTGGTTACTCGGTGGTGGCCTTCCCCTGCTGGAGGAGGGGGGGGGGGGGGGGGAGCGGGGTGCCGGGCTATTCTGGTCGACGACCAGCCCCCGTTCTGGACGAGGGCGTCTGGCACCGGCCGCAGACCGGTCCAGAACGCGGCCAGACTGGACGGGAGAGATTGCAGAGTCCAGCGTCTTATGTATAGAATCCAAAGACGGCTTCACAGCCTATAGTCGGCGTCAGACTCAGTCATTGTCCAAAGTCAAAGTCAGAGTCCAAAGTCAGCGTCAGAATGCATTGTCGGCGTCAGCGTCAGAGTCCAAAGTGATCAGAGTCTGAGTCAGTGGCAAGAGTTTACAGTCAGTTTCAGAGTCCATAGTCAGTGTCAGAGTCTGAAGTCAGTACCAGAATCCATAATTAGCGTCAGAGTCCAAAGTCAGTGTTATCGGGGAAGTTCTCTCCGTTACTTTCGTCCAAGTTTTATCATTTTTCAATATTTTTACCCTTGGCATTTTTAACATAACTTTAGGCCTCTGGTTTATGTTTATTCTTATGTTCAAGACAACCACCAGTCAGTTTTCTCAGACCTAGTGTCACTGTACTTACGCGGCTGATTTTTCCTGCTGAGTTTCGGGGTTGGTATGCGGGCGGGGGTGGGCGGGGTGGCGGCCTGGCAGTCCTCAGGGGGCCACTTGAGGTCACCCCGGGCCCGTGGTAGAACGGTCACCACCGGCTGGGTCGGGTATACCTGTCACAAGAGAGGCCAAAGAGGTCAGGTGTGGGGTCAAAAAGGTCAGAGGAGAGACTAAAGAGGTCAATTAAATATAAGCGTGTCGTAATGTTCGATATGTATATTCTGCAAATAATGCCTCATATGGTGTTTCGCGCTGTCATGGATGTGTTCTTTTGTATGAAGCACTGCACTTTGCGATTCTATGTTTTCTTATAATGAAACCCGAACGGGACATCTTATGTAATATTTTTATGACCGCTTTCCACGTAACCTGTACTATTTCTATTTTTAATTGATCGTAATTCCCGCCACGCAGTTCTAGTTTGAGAACCCCTGTGTACTGACCGGCGCCTGCTCCTGATTGACTGGCAGTTCCTGTTTGAGGGCCACCGTCTGCATGGGGTCCCCGCGACCGCTGCACGAGGACGACGATCTCGAATCACTCTGGAATATAAACATGCATAAAAGGTGCGAATTACCATTCGTGTCACACATCAGCAATACGACTCAATTGTCCGACTTAGTTGTCTACAATTACGATGATGTGATTCGATACGATTGCAATCATAATTAAAAGGAAAAACCACGTGTTTAAACATGGTCATTTTCCAACATCCATTGTACGAAAAATGGAATTTTATAACATAGCCACTAAAACCACTGCGTAATAGCACTGCGAAATAGCATGAAAATGTTTATTGTTGTAATATGCTTCCTTTTTATTGAAAACGAAAAAGGAGGCGTGTTAGAATTGAAAAACGGGAGATCTAAAAATAAATCCTTTACAGTTTTGAGGCAATCTATAGAAATTAAACCCGCGCCGGGCCGGGGGGGTGTTTGAACACCCCCCTTGCGGTTTTTCGCAGATATCTCAAAAACGGCGGCGCGGAGCGCCGCCGTTTTTGGCACACCTGTTCGTGCATCTTTTCCGCACATGTTGTGAAAATTTCAGACCCAGGTCACCTTAGGTCAGGTCACCAGGTCACGCCAAGTGACCTCACCTCAGAAAAATAGGAATGCTCGTCATAGCTACACCGACTGAACGATTGCCTTGAAACTTTCAGCGATTGATTAGAGCAACACTATCTATAAAATGTATATCTCGGAATTTTGATATCGGTGACCTAAGGTCAGGTCAATTTTGCGGCCTCTCCATTATAAGTCAATGGGAGAAAGTTGAAAAACGCCTGTTTTGCACGAACGCTATTCTAGACACTCTCAAACACCGAGATGTAGATAAAATAGACACACTGAACCAGAAAATGGCAACTGTGACCCCTCGTTATGTCCCCGAGGTCATCTCAGGTCACGAACAGAATCTAACAGTTTTTCGATGATAACTTCTGATAGAGGCGTGCTAGAGCGCTGAAAACGTCTTAGATGTGTTTGGCGCGACGTTGCGGATCGACTGATATGCAACATGACCTTTTCCGGTCGGGTCATGACCTTGACCTGAGGTCAAATTTTCAAGTTGACCTTTCAAGGTCAAATTATAGTTCATTCGACGCGTCTCGACGAGAGGAACACGATGCTGGCAAAAGTAATGTCATAGCTCTTTTGAGTCAAAAGTTATTGCCGAAAAACGTTTTTCGTAAAAACGGCTATTTTTGGAGTTTTTGCCCTCTGGAGGCTGAACCGTTGACCTGAGGTCAAATCTGAGAACATTACTCAGAAAGGTCTGTAAAAGGGCTATCGAATGCGCTTTTTGCGGCGCTGTAGCTCTATCGGTTCCCGAGATAGCCGTTGGCAGTTTCCAAAATGTTGAAATAGTCAACATTTTACCTTTGGTGACCTCTGGTGACCTGACCTTTGACCTGACCCAAAAAATGACTGAAGTGTTTTCGTCCTTATTTTTGACGTTCTTTCGATTGCCGCTTACCGCGTGTCGCTACGTGGCCCAGGAGCCGAGTTAGAAGGGGGGGGGGTGTTCAAACACCCCCCCGCGGCCCGGCGCGGAATTTCAGAGCACCGGCCCGGCGCGGGTTAATATTTAACAGCATTATAGTCAAAGTAAGAAAAGTAAGAAGCATTACAGTAAGAAATACCAAACAAATAACTAATTCATAATTAATTGTCCCCAGGGTTGTTGTTTGATACTAACCTCACTTCTAGGCGGCCACGCTACTGTCCTGTCGGCCTCTGAAAAAAGCATAATACCAGGGTCACTGGACAGTCGTAACATGACCTAACACGGCCAGCCGGACCCGACCCATCGCCCGCCTCTCTAAGAAACACAAATGAACACAAACATGATATTGCGGGTGGAGCCGAGCCATCACCGGTCGCGAAGTCACCTCATGCACAGTGGAGACTCTTGTTGAGGAAGCGGGGTGACGTTTGGATTTTAATGATATTTTTACGCATGGAAACTAAAAGGTACCTGTATTTGGAACCTTGTACCAAGGTATTTGCTAAGCAATGTTTGTTTTGAGCATAATTCACTCAATTCCCCAGAGATCGGAATTGTTTTGCATAACTTACTTCGTTCATATTTCTTGTCCGATGATTTTCCAAGTTTTATCTATTGAAGTTATTGTAAGATCGGCCCATTTCTAGATTTTTTCTCTCAGATTAGTTATCATTTCATTTCTCGACGAGATTGAAAAATGAAATGCACGTATGACTACGAGTAAATAATGTGCATAAGTTGAGTTGGCTCACGAGAAGCTGATTGCTATTTCCACTGCATAGAAGGGTGATCAATGGAGAACAGATTGACACGCAGTAAAATTAGACTGTTTCAACAAGGTTGAGATTGATGATGCACGAACACTCGTGAAGGACGATTTCACAATAATTGGCAAACGCTGTGCAGTGTTTGGACGAGATCCGAGAGTTAAGTAAAAAACCAGGGAACAGGTGTTCGAAAAACGTCCAGGCTACAGCCCCGCTAAACTTAGCACCCGTGGTATAATTAGCCTGCGTTGTACTGCAAGGGAAACAGTCGTTTAGACGCTCTCTAACGATCTCGGGTTATAAACATGTTGAAAAGAGTATATATCGCAATGCATTTGTTTTATACATTCCAGTTCTCATATTTTTCAGATGTAAACGATTGATCAGCAGATCAACAGAGATCATGACAATAGTTGAACTTAAATTAGATGAACTCATTTGGGACCTAGCACAAGTTTTAGGCACACAAGGCATGCAATTGAAAAACAAGTGACTACAACGGCCGCATGATAAATACAGCGATCGTAAACAGTTTTCTTGATTGAGGACCTGATGTTCATCAGGAAGACGAACATTTCTTTTGTATTTAAGTCTTTTTTTTGCTCAGGAAAATTGACGTGTGTTTAGGATAAATTGGAGTATATCGGAGGTAAGTACTTATCCCTCTTGGACTCTTTTAATCCTCCAGTCTGACCAAACCATCAGGCTATCGGGGTAATTCTCAGACTTTTTCCAGGCTCTCTTCAAAATGTCTGCACACACAAGTGCAGCTCGCATAGCTCTTCTTCTGTTGATTCTAGACACAGCAAGTGTGCGAGTTCCGTAAAAAAGCTGACGCGTACGCCTTGTATCGGCCAATTCCGTACGGGAATCGGGAAGGTCAGTTGGTCAGAGAACAATGGTGAGCGTGGTGACTCCCATTAAACCGCATCCGCCAACTGGCAAGGAAATGAGTCTGCCCGTTGGAGGTGCAGCACTTGAGGTATGTTGTGCCGTATGACCGAACATCTGTGAACAGTTTTCGCCACTGCGGGAGGCAAAACAAAAGCAATATGCCCCTCGAGTAGCTGCCACTCGTCTTTCTAAGGCCGTACTGTCAGGTATCAGTGTTACGAAGACAGTGGTTCAACGTTGAAGAACCATGGTGGTCTCAAAACATTTATCCAACAGTTGGTTCGAAAAGCACGGAGAGAAGTCATTATTGCTCTCGACATCGACGCAAGAAAATGCAAAATCGTACTTTCGGGAGAGCATTGCACCGGAAAAACAAGAGCTATCAAGAAGCAAAGAGATTGATTCCGAACGCGGCACCTCTCCACCTACCACCGATGGGCTCTCAAGTGCTCCGTCAGCACCTACCACCTGGTCTCAGGTGAGACTGTTGATCTGTCTCTCGGCTAGCTACCTGCTGACTGCCGGCTGCTCGAACGCCCACATACTACTCATCACACACGAGGCGCATCGCCGCGGTCTCAACAACGCCTCATCGAGCTCAGTCTACAGCTGTTTTGCGCTTTCTCTTGCAGTGGGATTCTGGGCAATGTATGTATGTATGTATGTATGTATGTATGTATTGACACCAAAAGCCTTCCACATATGGCGTGGCGATTACGGCTTGGCGCCTCGGGGTCGGCGCCAAGCCGTAATCGCTCGGCGATTACGGCCTATGGCGTGGCAATGGGCTGGCTGGCGCCTCGGGTCGGCGTGGTGAGGCTCTACAGGCTTGGTTTGCTACTAGCGGGAGCTACTACCGTGGTGTACGGTCTGCTCATCTACGTGGATAATTCGACGACGTTCCTGGCGTGTAGTATGACACTACGAGCCGTCGAGGGCGTTGGCTCGGCCGCGGTGCTGACAGCAGTGCGCTCAATCATCATCAACCAGTTTTCGCGTCGGATGAACTCGGCCATGAGTCTCGTGGAAGGGATGTATGGAGGAGGTCTGTGTCTGGGACCGGCGCTTGGTGGAGCCATGTACTCGGTTGGTGGGTACGGGGCGCCGTTCTATACCCTCGGCGCACTACTGGTCGCTAATTCTGCCGTCAGCCTGCTCCTGATGCCGCCCCTAACAGACCATGCTGACACGACGAAGAAGAGTGTCGAAGCGACAACCTACCGCGACAGATTGGGCTTCGTGCTCACCAACGCAGACAGCTGGCTCATTTTCGCGACATCTTTTTTGGCGGCCGTGAATTGGAATGCAATCGACAACACCATTGCGCCCTACGCGCTCGACACGCTCAACATGCAGCTTCCGGAGCTTAGCTTCTTCTTTATGGGATCGTTTGGCGGATACACGCTCTTCAGCCCAATGTGGGGACGGCTATCGGATTGCACCGACAACACGTTCTTACTGGAGGCTGTGTGTCTGGCGCCGACTGCGCTGGGCCTTCTGCTCATCCCACCGTCATCTCTTCTCGGTCTTCAACCATCCCGTCTGCTTCTCGGCGTGGGGATGACACTCCGAGAAATATTTCAGTCAGGCGCCTACATGTCCCTCCTACCCTTTCTCGTGCGTCTCTTGGTGTCTAGCGGTCTGCCTAACGATCTACACAGTCACGCACTGCTGACCTCCCTGTGTGGGTCGGCTCACTCTCTGGGGCACATGCTCGGCCCGGTGTGCGGTGGTCTGGTTACTGACTACTGGGGTTTTCCGGTGCTAGCGAGCTCGCTGAGTGAGGTCACGGCGCTACTGTGTGTGATTATGGCAGTGCGTGGAGTGGTTTATTATGTGTTGCGCCGGAAAATAACGGAGCATTGACGGATGCTGACATCCTAAAAAAAAAAAAAAAAACGCTGGGAAATGTGGTAAACTAAGTGGTTGTGCTGTGAATAAAATTCCCTAGTGGTGCTGCGTGAATCCTTGAAAACAAATGTCGATGAACTGTTATGATTTTGTTCCCAGTTTTTGATGCCCGATAGGCATTAAAGGATGTCTTTCAGACTTTCACCGATTAATGACCATATTTAGTCATTAGCAACTGTTTGGAGGCTGTGATGCCACCATTCCTATTTTCTATAGCATCACAATTCTTAAAGGTACGGGAAGACTCGCGTTCCCATATCATTATCCAGTTAATAAATCATTCGGTCTTCCATTTGTTCTAGATCCTCCCCGGCTCAGACACGGTAACCCACTCTCCTTCCGTGAATCACGGTCTCAGTATGTTTGCCAGCTGGCAACCCAGCTTGAACTGGGTTTCTGCACCAACATGACATCACGTCTGGCAACCAGAACGATTGACACACGCGTCATACGGCGATAAATTTAGAGGGGCACCGGGCAGCTGAGCTGCGAGCTTCTAGAGAACACAAGATCCAGATGATACCGGCATCTGCCGGCTTTGTTTTGTGGTGGACTTTGAAAGATTATTTCGGCGCGACTTACGTACTGTAGCTGCACAAAGGAAACTTATCTGGACATTACTTTGTGAAATAGAGCTGGATAATGAAACAAGACTAAATATGAGGTAAATGTTGTGCTGAATAGCGTAATAAAATTGTTGCATTGATAGGGCATTAAAAACAAATTGACACATTCATTTTCTGGAACACGATATTCAAGACAAATGGTTATCCTGTCAGTGAAATAAAATTTCATTTTCATTCTACCTAAAATCGGTATGTAATCGTCACCACTTCTAATCTAACTATGGTTAGAAGTGTTAGAGTTATGGTAAGCACTTAGCATTTATTTTGGAATGGAACTCGTTGCATAAATAAACAGCGCCAGCTCGTTTTAGACCTCAATGACGTCATCCATAGCCCAGCCAATAGCGTGATCGTTGAATCTCACCTGGAATGCGAGTGAAAAATGAAGGCGGCTGGGGTCGGCTGTAATCTTTGGGCGGCCACACCGACTGCAGTGGCCGGGGCTCCGGTTCCAGAACCATCATGCTGGCCGTCTCTGTCGGATCGACAGAGACACACTGTTAGTGACGTCATAATGACGTCAGGTGGAGAAAATCGGTGCATTCGTGGTGGAGGTATGGATGAGGTAGCTGATACGACCGTCAATTGACACAGGTAGTCCGACAAGTAACGCAAAGTCGGCCCTGCATCAGCAAGAAGTACCTGATCTCATGGATCGCAGGCACGTTACGGAATCGAAGAATTGATTGAAAAAAAATTTGCACGGCCTTCATGTAAATAAATAAATCATGGAAAACTGTCATGAGCTCAAAGATCTTTCAGCTCCAGCGGCAATTCAACTTTTTTCAGTGCAGCCTATTGTCTCAATATTATTTCAAAATGACACGTGACAAATTTTTGCTGTTTCACTTCTAGAATGTCTGATTCTGTGCTGCTTTGTTTGTATGCCCTTGCTGCTGACATTTATTGATAAGTTATCAGGTGCGATTCGTTATTATTTTGAGTCGGACGATAAGTCTGACCTGTTTCGCTACTCTACATCCGCTTCTGTCTTGACTTCGAGGTTTTCTGTTTTGCTAACCTGAGCCCTATCTTATCAAATAACGTGAATGCATATTTACGGCATTTGTTAACATTCTTAACTATTCCACATTCATTTATTCATTCGTTCTGACAATATTCATAGTCATTCATGCCATTTAAAACTGTTGATATTATTGCCAGTAACTGCGGCCAGTGCTACCATATTCCATTCACGGCATTGGTAAGATAAGGCCCTGGCTCCACCAGTCTCGACCCTGTCTCTGCCTCTGCTGACCCGAAGCCCACCTGTTCCGCTGGCCTGGCTGCGCCTCTGTCCTGGTTCCGGATGCCCTCGGGGCAGGCTGTGACCTCTCTCTCACCAGCGACTACCCGCCACCGCGACCTCAGCTTCTCGACTGGCGAGCCGCCTCGGGCGCCAAATAGACTGACCTCCGCGGAACCCCCTCCCCTTCCCCCACCCAGCGCCGTCGCCCTCAGCTTCTGGCTCTGGCCACAGTCTGCCCCCCGCTCTGCCCTGCTCTCAACTCTCTCCCCTCCCCGGATTCCAGAGTGGTGACTCAGCTGGGGCAGACACCAAGTGATCTTGGCTGGCGCGTCGGGGGTGACTCACAGTCTCTGAGAAATTTTCCGACACTGTCGACTCGAGTCTCATCATCTGGGAGCGACTGAGTCAGACAATGCCCAAAAATACGACCAAGGGTGTATCATAGGACATCTGGTCTGGAACATTCAAGCGTGACGAAATAGAGATTTTTTTAGAAAAAAAAAATACTGAAAATTAGTCGAACATCGAGAGCTTGAATTGAGCATTAGAAAATTAGGTGCTCCGTGTTTCATTTTCATCAATGTTTTGCAATACAATGCCTGTTACGTCATCCCAGTGAAAATTGTTTCATGTTATTGTAAATAATAGCCGGCGTGCTTCATAAACGAAACAATATCGGTCACACTTTATTTCTGGATCACAATTTTAGGTCTTTACGGTTGTTTCTAACTAATAATTGTCACTTTTTGATTCTGGGTAACATATTCTGAAGTATTTTTACGGCTCGTTATTGTTAAACTATTCAATCAGTTGAGTCACAGCCAGGAACTGTAAACAACTGTCTGAAAACTGACACGCCAGGTCGTCTGGCAGCCGACATTCCCTTCCTCGTGGTCATTGACATACTCCGTGGCTCTCACATCGCTCCAGCTGGGCCAGTCGACACGAATATCCCCACCTGTCTGACCCCGTTCCCCCGTCCCTGACCGCCCCGAGAGCGATCAGATCCTACTCCGCCAGCTGCGACCGCGTCGCCCTTGTCTGTCAGCCTCTTTACCCTGACCTATTGGGCACGGACTTGACGCCCAGGTGGCTGCCTGTGGCGGTAAGGTGCTTACGCTCCGAGCGCACGCGCGCGTGACCTGGCAGCGTGCCAGATTCCACAACCCTGCCCGACGCAAACTGCTTTCTCGATATACCCGTTTTGAGATGATGCAGTTAGACAGAAATTGAAAAAAAGACTAAGATATAAATATTTAAAATGAGTTGAATAATGAGATTAATTCCCCGAAAGATCTAGCTTATCCCCTGATACTGCATATAACACATAATGCTTGTTTTATTTCACCTGCGCTGTATGTTATATCATGTAATAGCTCCAGAATCGGATGAGTGTTCTGACATTTCCATTGGTGTAAAGAACTGGAAAGTCAACTACAAATCAATTTAGTGAACATACCTAAATTCTGTTGATAACACACATGTGCCGATGTAAGAATTGCCGCCTCACCTACATTTTATGAAGTGCCATCACTAGTCTAAATACATATTCCAAGCCTACACCAGCTGTAATGCTTGGATGCGTGGATTCAGAAAAACGTCGTCACAGCGTGTCCCGCACTACAGTTCGGCATTGCGGTGCAGCATGCCACCAGGCGCAATCCCGCTTTGCCACCTAGCGGTCCCTGCATCAACTAGGCTTTCATGTCCAGAGCTGTAACATAGATGTCGCTACTATTCACGCTCGTCTGTAGGTCTCGAGTTGCAAGCCATGAGCACTCAGAGCAAGGACACAAGACATCTTTCGATGTTGAGGGCTCAGTCTCAAGCGCTCAAGTGACAAAAGGAGGTCGAAATTCAAACTTGCACTGTTGAACATGTTTCTGTTTTCCGTTACTGCCTCCACATGTGCTGTAATTGATTCTTTCTATACAAAGCCTAGGCCTTTTTTTTTTGGCTTCCTACGCCGTCGAGTTGCACATTGCAGGGACTCATTCTGGGTAAACTGTATCCAACTGCTGTGGTTCCTTTGACGTTTGAATAGAACGGTGACAGTGGGTGTGAACCATCTATCAAAGTCTGGTAAGAATCAGATAAGAAATGTAGTTGGGGCCACTCCAATTAGGAGGATGCTGATAGACAGATCAGCACTACACCCGTCTTAAGCTTTCATTGCAAGGTGCCGGAAAGCAATTTGTTGTTGATGCGTGATGCGTCCATAGTTGGCTCAACGGTCAGCAACTGCTGTACTTTATCTAAAGCTCATACAGTGAATGCCAACATTTGTAGGGAACAACTAAACATGCTTCCCCGTCTAATGCTGTTCTGAAAATTGAATAAATATTTTTTTATTTTCCTTACGACATAATGAGTAGCGTATAATGAAGTATCATGCGTGGTGAGGATCAAGTGTCATGCGCGTCTGCTGCTCATCTACCCCGTGTCCCTCCCCATTTTCCCTGGGGAATTCTTCAGGGTTCAGGCCACGCGGTCCAATCAGCTAATGGGGTCTCATGAAGGCTAGTTACCTGAACGTTGATACTGCATTGAAACAGTCTTGGAGCTGATCGAGAGTGACATAGCAAGACACTAGACAGACAGAAATGGGACTGGGGACAGGGACAGAGACAGGGACAGGGACAGGGACAGGGACAGGGACAGGACTGGACTGGGACAGGACGGGACTGGGACAGGACGGGACTGGGACGGGATTGGGACAGGACTGGGACAGGACGGGATTGGGACAGGACTGGGACAGGACGGGACTGGGACAGGACGGGACTGGGACAGGACGGGACTGGGACAGGACGGGACTGGGACAGGACTGGACAGGACAGGACTGGGACAGGACGGGACAGTAGGGGCTGGAACAGGACAGGACTGGGACAGGACGGGACTGGGACAGGACGGGACTGGGACAGGACAGGACTGGGACGGGATTGGGACAGTAGGGGCTGGAACAGGACAGGACTGGACAGGACTGGGACGCCGGGCGGGACTGAGACAGGATTGGGACAGGACGTGGACAGGACGGGACTGGGGTGGGACTAGGACATGACTGGGACTGGCTTAGGGACACTGGACAGTGGTCAGTCGCAGCGATTCGCTGTAAGTTTGTGACGTCATCTGTGGAGAGCCATGACGTCACCAGTCGATACCGAACTGTGCCTCAATGCCTGCCAGAGCCCAGAGGCGTCGGAAGGTCGCCGTAGGTCAGTTCATCGAGTAAGGGTCAGGTCAGAGGCGAGACAGGTGAAAATGATCAGGTCGGGTCGGCTGATGCAGATCATGTCAGGACAGACTCATGAAATTTGTTCATTCAGAAAAATGCATGTTAGGTCAGGCCCGTTCTACATAAAAAGCTAAGCTTAGTGTGGTTTATGATGCAGTTGGCTTGAAGATTTGAAACAGATCATAAATCAGGTATTTGCAAACAGGGCAAATCATATGTCGATGAGAGGTGGCTTATTGAATGGAACGTTACCTGGCCACTGAGCAGCTTGCTTTCCTGACTTCGAGTTTACCTAAAGCAAATAATAATAATAATGATAATTAGGTAGGTATATGGGTCTCAAGCGTAGTTTCTGCAGCTAAATTCGATCGTTTTCATTATTCATAAATCAAGTCGCTTTACTTTTCATAGGTCCGTTAAAGAATACATTTTCTTGATAAGGGTGCAACCTCACATGTATCACGATGTCTTACTTGACCTCACCATGTATCCGTCAAACATTTGAGATCAAACCATTGACTGGAACTTTGAGTGACCCCGGACGCCGTCGCTGGACGCGCCTCTGTCCGCCGGCTCCGACGGGGCTGCGACGACCGTCTCCGTCGGTGGCGACGCCCACCGGACGACCGACCGAAGGCACCTCCCTCGGGCGTGTCCGGCCGGCCGTCCGTCCGTACGTCCGTAAGACTTTACGGCAGCTCGGACGGACATACGGAGTGGACAGAGTGGAATCTGTGGACAGTGCGCTGGACGAGATGTGTGTGGAATGTGAAATGTGTTAGATGCTGAACAGAATTTCAACGAGCTACATAAAGCGGATTTCAGGGACATGCCTTGCACAGAGTGAACAGAGTTGCCGATCAGTGTACCCAGTTGATTAGTAGTTGGAGTTGAAAAGTGCACGAAGTTGAACAGTATACCTAAAAAGAGCACCGTGCAGTGTACTGAATTGAACAGCGTGCGAAGTTAGAGTGTGTATTGAGCTTTGATCAGTGATAAAAAGTTTTACAGTGAACGCCATTGATCTGCACACGGAGCCGGTATGTAGCTATGGAGTGCGGTGTGCGCAACAGAACTAAAACTAAGAGCTGAGCAGGCACCAAGCTGGTCATGTGTCATGAATTTTGTGATCACCGTCGTGTGCGATGCCTAAACAGTCACGTAATGCATAGCTGAACTGTATCAAGGTGCTCTAATTATCTAAACATGGCCCTAAAAAGCTTACATTTCATCAGGCGAGGATCACCAGCCGTCATCAATACATATACCTAGGTATGCAATATTCAATGGCACCAGCCTTTATCTTGTCTTCTCCATTTTTGTTTGACACTGTATAGGCTTGCTTGTTTTGTTTTGTTTGGCAAATAAAATCAAACGAACGTTGGGCCATTTCGGTATGTATGTAAGGTAATACCGTTTCAAGACAGTGAGGTGAAAGGAATAGGGATCAGAATTTCCTCACCCCGTTGGGATGAGACTTTCCTCGCTGAAACAGGCCTGAAACCACCTAGTCCTCCCTAGCGATCATTCCGGAAGACCATGCTTCTTGCTGAATTGCCTTGCCGGCTGTTTCGACCAATACCTACTAGGGCGGTGCTCATTATAAGCCTGATTCTGAAACAGGATAATGTCAAGAATGAGGATGAGTTTACTCATACAATGATGGATGACATTTAGGTATTGCACAATTATTAGTAACAAAGTGCAGTGCTAAGCGGTTGTGTTACTAATAGTAGCCTCCCTTTTATCTCACTACCAATTCTCACGTTCCCAGGGCATCCAACCAACCAACAATCCACATTTCTGGCTTCTGCTGCACCATCAGTGAACTCCCGCACCGTCTACCGGCGGAGTCTACACCTGCCGTGATGACGTCACCATGCTGTCTCACGTGACGTCACCGTCGCGGTCACCATGTGGTGGCTGGTGCACA